TTATTTTTCTTTTAGACTTTAATAGGTCATTCTAAATTTCTGATGGATCACAATAAAAAGTTATAAATGTCCTGCGTTCTTACGCTCATATTAGTAATGCCAGGTCAGTTTTGAAACCTGTCTAGGCCTTGCTTATCTTATCAAAATAAGTTAAGATCCACCTTTTAAATGAGAAATATAGCAATGACAACAAAAAATGAGTAACAATAACTACAAAAACCATTACATGTAGCAATTTATAATTTACGAAGTATTTCCACATCTATAACCTCATTCGTTTTTAACAACACCCCTGTGAAGAAGGCAGAGAGAGTTACCCCATGTTACAGAGGCAAAACTGGAGCTCAAGGGGCGAAGTCACCCACTGTCATGCTTGGGAATTTCAAGTGTGAAAAGAAGACAGAAGAAACACAGGTGAAGGTTTTTAAAAGACGACCGGTTTACAAAACATAAACTTTAGTTTACTGTTTTTGCTTACCTAACATACGCAACAGAGACACAATACAGAAATTACATTCTTTACTATTAAGTATCATTATCAAGCCTTGTCATCATTATTTTCATTTTATACAGGGTCATGGAGAAAAGTGTATGCCTTCTGTATCAGATGATAGGTGTTTAAATTAGCTCTTTTATTCATTTATAATACCAGTGGGCAAGAACTATCATGGAGGACAGAGAGGATTGGAACAAAATATAAGGGATGTTATATCTCTTTCCAGGAAACTAAAATCTGGTTGGATATAAAGAGAGATGTATGTATCTCATTCTTCTTCAAACTAGAAGAGAACTAATCTGGAAAGTTCCAGATGGGAATATTTCCCAATTCTTTCTTTGAGATTCTCTTTTCTAAGATATTTGCCTGACAGCTTCCCCAGTGATCCAGTGAATCTATATGAAACATGCTTTTGTATGCAATAGCACAGAGAAAGATTATTAAGATTATTTATGTTACATTGATAGTTTGTACCTAGTGGAATTCCTTGAATTGTTTAGTGAGACCACCTCTTGAGGAGTCAGTGAAGTCCATACAAGTACACATTAGCTTTAAACAGTACTGTTTACCCTGATTAATACATTCTTTCTTTTGGGGGAAAGGAAGTAAGAGTGCAAAAGGTGAGCACAAAAATCTCTCGAGATCACTTTCAACTTCCCATCAACAAATCACCAAAATACTTGTAACTGTACCATCTACTACCTCTCCTCCCCATTAAACTGGATGAACTGTCCAATGGGCCAAACCATTCCTTTGTACACTGCAACACTTTGTTTTCTCCACAACTTTGTTCTTGAAACTAGCCCTTGCTCATTATGGCTTTTCACTTCTCTACTAGATCACTCCTGTTAACATGCAACATGGTACAACATCCCTTACTTTTCTAAAACAATCTTCTTTACTCATGTCTGCCGCCGCCTCTTGCTGTGCTGCTCTGTTCTGTGTAGTAAAAGTCCTCGAGAAAGTGTCCATCGTGCTGTTTCCTTACCCCATCCCACCTGTGTACTGTTTCATTGATTAAACAAGAGAATATATTACAATATGTATAAGGCATACAGAACAAAATATGAGCACCTATATTTCACCACCCCGTTTAAGGAACAGAGCACCACTAGGAACTCAGAAGATGACTCTGTGTCCCCTTTATCTAGTCCTTGCCCTTGCTCGCTATGAAGTAAATGCTATTCTTCCTCCCAAATCCCCATTTTTATTGAATTATAATTCACATATAATATTGTATAAGTTTAAGGTGTACAACATGATGATTTGGTATACATATAGATTGTAAAATGATTACAATAAAGTTACTTACACCTCTATTACCTCACGTAGAGTGTGTGTGTGTGTGTGTGTGTGACAGAGAGAGAGAGAGAGAGAACGTTTGAAATTGACTCTCTTAGCAACATTTAAGTATATAATACAGTATTGCTAACTTTAGTCACCATACTATAAGTTAGAGCCTCAGAACTTATGCATCTTCTACTGGGAGAGTTTATTCCTTTGGCAAACATTGCCCCATTTCCCCCACTCCCTGGCAACCACCAATCTAGTCTTTGTTTCCATGAGTTCCTTTTTTTTTTTTTTTACATTTCACATATAAATGAGGTCATAAAGTATTTGTCTTTCTCTGCCTGACGTATTTCACTTAGTATAATGCTTCAAGATTCATCCATGTTGTCGCAAAAGACAGGGTTTCCTCCTCTTTTATGGCTGAGTAATATTCATATAGACACACATATATACATATATATGTATGTTTCATGAGTAAAGACACAGAAAACCAGCTTTAAATCTGCAAGAACTTGAAACTATATCCATGCCATTTTTAAAGTAATTAGTCAAAGATGTTTAACATGAAAATTAAATTTGGAAAGATAAAATTATTGTATTGATGTTAAGCATGAAAAGCAGTTAAATATAGAGGTAAATCAATATAACTTTTGTGGATATGAAAGCAAATTCAGAACAGTTATTTAATACAATTAATTAAATCCAACCCTTAATATTATATTAATAAAGACTGTGAGTAAGGCATATGGAAGATTATGTTACAAATAGGGAAACAAAAGATATAATTCTTGGATTTGACAGTTTAGCAAAATTTGGATTAGAGAATGTTTTCAGAGAATGTAAATAACCACATATAAATAAAAACAATAACATCTTCCATATCATTGTTTGTTTCTCCAAATATAACAAGGTATTTTCCATTGGAATGAAAAGAATAAAAATTACTAAAAGGTAGCAAATCCCCCCAGAAAACCTAAAATAACTGATATAAGATTATACAGATCAGCTATTTCAATAAATGTGTTTTAAATCCCTTTATTGAAGGACAAATAATCTCCTTCATTACCTAAAAGATAAGAATTTTACCTTAGCATGCTGCCTGTCGTGCTAGCACACAATTTTAATTTATTTTCGTCATAGCACTTAACACTAGTAGAATTTTTGTGTTTATTGCCCGTTCTCTCCACTAGAAGATAAGCTCCATAAGAAGGGACCATGGTGTCTTATTCACACCCACATTGCTAGGAGCCCAATAAATATGTGTCCTATCAATCAGTGAATGAGTGAATGAATGAATACTACAAATTACATCCAGATTACATATAAAAGCCAAACAAAAATAAAGCTGAGGTTACAATTAAAATGTCATTTCAAAGTAACAGCAAAATACTGAAAAAATATATAGAAGAAATTTTTGTTGTTAACAAAAGACAAAATCCATAATGAAATTTAAAAGTCACAAAACTTGTTAAGTCAAATAACAGGATCAACATATATAATACAACACAAAACAGAAATACAGACAGAAAATGATAATTACAATGATTATGAAAGACTAATAAACTTCTAAGAGTCTTTGATAGATTGGGTGGATAAAACATAAATAAGAACATAAGATATTTAAATAATTTATCACCTTGAATGCATATGTGTATGTATTTTATATGCATATAAATTATACTGTACCCACCAACTATTTTCTAAGTAGAAATATATTGTTCAGTCAGAAAACAATCAATACTAAAAAGTACTTACTAGATTCCATTGGAAAAAAAGCTTTGACAAGCTTTCTTCCCCAACAGTTGTTAGAAAAACAATTTGTGGAACTGAAATAAAAATTTGGAATAGATATAAATTTATCGAGGTGGAAAAAAAATTTTTTAAGTCTAAGTGTCAAAATCATTTACTAAGACTGGTCTAACATTTTTATAAATGTCAGATTTATCTAATACCTTCTAAGTCATACACTCAAACAGACAAATAAATTGCAGGAAGACCTCATAAGCCTGAATGAATGGTCAGAAAGATGGAAGAATGCTTTCTGAAGGCACTAGTGCAGTACAGTACTACAGCCATGTGTAAAATAATAACTTTTCTGCACAAAAACTATGTTAAATTTGACTTACGGATACTGTGTGCAACTCTACATGCTCTGCTTTAAGAAACCAAAGGGGAAGCACGAAGGTGACATTTATTGAGCAAATTGTGTTGTTGTGATATATAACTGCATTTAATAATCAGTGCTTAAACGTATGGCTGTTGTCATTCATTCAGCAAGTATTTCCTGAGCACCCCCATTATGCCAGGTATTGTTATAAACACTGGGAAGGTCATATAGTAAAATTAGATGAAATATGTGGTATAATAGTAGATAGCAATAGATACTATGAGGAAAAATAAAGCAAAAAAGGAGGGAGGGGGAATTGTTGGTGTGGGGAGTTACAATTTTCAATAAAGTTAGCCTGGAAAGGCTTTCCTGAGATGATAACTGAACAAAGGCTTGGAGGAGATGAGGGAAGGGTGTTCCAGGCCAGAACGGCCAACGCCAAGACTCTGAGGCAGGAGCGTGAACAGCCAGGAGGCAGTGAGGGTGGGGCAGCGCGAACAATGGAAATGAGTAGGAGAAAGGGCTACTGGGAGACCAGACTGTGTAGGGCCTTGAGTTTCGACTTGAACTTGAAAGTGATCTGGCTTATGTTTGAAAAGAAATCAATCACTATGTCCTTTGTGTAGCTGAGAATAGACATGGACGGAAAAGTGGTTCTATGGAAAGTAATCTCACAGGGTGATCTGATCATAAATTCCTAGCTGGGCAGGTCATGGTGGGTAGACACACCCTAGGCATATAGTTTTTTAGTAAAAGGTTTATCTTTCCCTTAAGCCAGCCCAGCCCATTGTTTCTGTGTACCTAGGTTAACAGACCTTTGAAAAGCCTCTTTTCAGACCCCTCAGAAGCAAAAACACCTAAACCAACACACCTTTGAAATGCCTCTTTTCAGATCTCTCAAGCAAAACCACCCTTGAGAGAGCACATAATCTTGTTAGCTATCCTGTAATCCAATCCCTGCCTTGCTTTCCCCCACCTTCTTGTATTCTTCCTTATGGTTCCTGCGAACTGCTATTTTAGGAAGCGTTTTTCTCAGTCTGTTGCGATCTTGCTTCCAGGCATGTCCTCTGTTTGGCTCAAATAAATTTTTATAAAAATTCTCTGCAGGTTTGGAAGTTCTTATGTTGACACTGCTGAGCAGCAATGATGGAAGAAGCGAGTGAAGAAGCTACTACAGTAACCCAGGAGGAGATAATGGGTGCTTGGACCTAGGAGGCCATGAAGGGGGTAAGAAGTGATGGATTCTTGATGTATCTGAAGGTATAGCCAACAGAATTTGCTGGTAGACTGGTGTAAATGAGAGATAAGAGGTCAGCATAACTCCAAAGATTCAGTCTAAGCAACTGGATAAATTTTCATTTTACAGAAAAGTTAACTAGATATTATTCCAAAGCTATTGTCTTCCCATAATGCCTCATTACTTAAAAAAGAAAGGCAATCAACATTATATGCACAGATCATCTACTATATGGATTACAGACTTTAGATTTTACAAATGAAGGTTGAGAAGACATTTTCTTTTAATAATTGGTAATGACTCCCTGAATTATGAGATTTATTGTTCAATGACATGGTGAAGCCTGAAAATGTAAAAAGGCTGGAAAGAGGATAGGAAATTTATGGATGACAGAATCGTATCAGGTTATTTAAGGATATTAGGGATACTTGGGTAGATCTCCACATTCTTGAGGCTGATGGCATGATAAATTATCCATAGAACCTCCTTGGAAACCAGTGTTTGACAGAATGAGATGGAGAACAGACTTTCCTAAGATTAGATATGAGAATACTGTTTTGCTCTGGCTTCTTCATTTTAAGTATTTCAAATACAAATTTGTAAAAGTAGCCACCAAAGGTATTTTTTAAGCCTATACAAGAGCTGTGTTTGGACATTTAACATATATGTATATATAGCTTTCCAATTAGTTTTTCATACTATAAAGGTTAATAGGCTCCAAGAAATGTATTTAATTTCTTCAAGCTTTTTGTTTATATTTTCTCATTTGCCATGTTAATAAGATGCCCTAGCAATGTAAGTTGATTTTGTTGTTGAGAGAAAATATAATTCTTTTCCACTATTCTTATTGGAAACATTACATTGGATATCTATAATTAATCTTCTATGCTGCTATCTTTTCCTATTTGTAGAAACATGCCATAGTGTGGTAATTCACAGGAGTTAGTTCTCTTATATCTGCCCCCACCCCACTCCCAACACCCCTATTTCAATGAAAGGTGCTTCCCTCTTTCTTCTCAGTCATCCTGACCCAGCTCCTGTCCTTCACCTCTATGCCAGGACAGTTACCAATATCAAGAAATACTAATTCCTTCGTATGCCTTGTATGTATAATAACTCTTTTTCACCTCAGTGCTAACAGTCCAGAGATGACTCTGGTCTTCATTTAGGCAACATCTCTGAGTGCATCTCTACTCCTCTAGTCTGTCCCCACTGCACTTCATCGGGCATGCTAGAGCCTGCTTAATTTTAAAGCCCAGCTCTGGTCATATCACTCCATCAAAACCATATACGAGCTTCATGTTGGCAGCTGAATGAAGTACAAATTTTTCTACCTACCTTTCAGGGCCCTCTACCATGTGGCCTCAAGCTGCCTTTCCAGTCTGATCACCTACCACTTCCTTTTCCAGGTCACTACACCTCTAGGAAAACCAATCACTCTTCCCTGAACCTGCCTCCATTTTACCAGCTTGGGGCCTTTGCTCACACAAAAAACATTCCCTCTTGTCTATCAAAAGTTGACCTATCCTTTAGGTCCTATCTCAAATGCTGCTTAGAAGACGCTTCTGTTGATGCCACTGATCAGCATGATTACCACCCCCCACCGAACCCCTACCACCGGCCGAACCCCTACCCCCTACCTCAGCACTTAGTTTGTACAGCGTTTACTGCAGCCTGAAGACCTGAGCATCTTTCTTATCTCCGACACTTCATTCTAAGCTCCTAGAAGATGACAAGTGTACTTTTCTCCTCTCTCAATCTCCCATGGCAGGTCGGTGCCTTACACAACGTCGAGTTCAAGGATTATCAGTGCCAAGAAGCGTTAAGGGGTAGACATCTTCAAAGAGGCTGTGTTTAAACTTTCTATTAAAAGCCATGAACATTCCCCTTTCACGTAATAACAGGATATCAGTGGAGACAAACGGATATAACACTATCTTCCTGGTTTCTTCACCATTCTCTCTAGTCTTCTGTATAAATAGAATTTACATTATAGTGATTAAAAGTCCCCTGTAAAATGGTGTCACGAGGCCATATCTGGGAAGAGAGGATCAGTACTAATCTGTTTCTTACTCACTATTTAGTAAGGGGAATACGAGATGATATGTTTGGATCAGAGACAGAAAGGAAATGGGGTTTTCAAGGGAGAAGAAAATTACAAAAGAAAAACCTGTTTCACAAAATGCAGTCTGTGGAAAATCTTTAGCTGAATATTGGGATTAAGAAAATCAATGAAACCTTTGAAACCAGAACTATGTGAGAGGCTGTTTAGGCTTGATGGCAGAATACAAGGCGATGGCTTCCAGAAAGTCAAATCTTTCTCCAGTAACTGCAAAAGCAGTTCTTCAATATTCAGGAGCCTACATGGCCCCCAAATATGCTCAGCACAAACTGCTTATTACACAGAGAGGGACAGTCCAGATTCAAAGGGCCAGCACTTTCAAAAGGACTTTTACTAAGGCTGTAATTAGTTGTTCTCGCAAAAACTGCATACACGTCTAATTGCATACACAATTGGCTAATTGTATCTTCAAAATAAAGGGTAAAGGGTTAATTGTATCCACATCTGGCCACAAAGAAAGAGATTGTCCTTTGAAAATATGACACTACACTTAGATGAAAATTTGCATTAAACAACCATCCCTATTACTACTAATAATTATAATACCACATGCTTACAAATTAATACCTTTCATCGTGATCCTGAAAACACTTCACAAACATTAATTAATCTCACAATACTGCTATGAGGTATGAAAGGCGATTATCCCAATGGTGTCAATGAGGAAATACAGGAAAGTTAGGTTAATTGTCAAAAGCCACAGAGGGAATTGAAGTTCCCAGCCCCTGGCTCTAACACTGGCCCAAGTCACCAGGGAGGTTCAAGGGGGAGTCTGGTTCACATAGTCAGCAAAAATGAGCCTCAAACCAAAGCAAAAATAAGTAATCATATTTCAGACTAGTGAAAACTGGCCTGTGATTTAGAGACTACTTTTACTTCTTTTATTCAAAGGAACATAGAGAGTATTAAGAATGGAGCTAACAAGTAGAACATTTTTGTTCCTTGGTTTCATTTTATGATAAAAAAAAAAAGTACAGAAAATCATACCATGCATCCCCAATGAATGGTACTTTCAAAAGTAAGAGGGAGAAATTTCTACAAGAGATGGATACTTGGAATGTTCTGGTTATGGCAGCTGTGAGATGAGGACATGCAGACATGAGGTAAGGAACTAAAACAAATTAAATTTAATATCACCTTAATTCTGATTGATGTCAATTCTGACTGAATCGATGTCAAATTGCTGGTCAGGAGCAACTAATATACACTAACCCAGCATATCTAACTTAATACAAATAAATTTCCTTAGAAATGCTTAAGTACTACATCATTAGTATTTGTGTAACCTTAACATCTTCTTTCAGAAAGAGAAAGATATGAGGGCTCATTTTTAACAACAAAATATACATTTTAAGGAATGATTTTTTTTTTATAATTAAAAAAATATTCTCATAGCCTCATCATAAAAATGTCTGGGTGATTTGCTTATGCATCAAAACTCATGATAGATTCTCTATGCAGATACTTATAAAGGTGTGGAGATATAAATATGCTTCAATGCAATTCAATTCAATTCAATTCAATTCAATTCACTTCACTTGTTCGGTGAAGACACATGCTAGAAGGTCAAAGATGAACAGGACAGTTCCTGCTTTCACAGACATATGGTCTATGCATTTACTTCTATTCACTCTAGCCCTACTATATCTCTTCCTACAAAGGGTTTGAGGTAATAGCCAACAGAAGAATAAGTAAAACGCTGAAAGGAAAATAGAAACAAAACATTCTGACGATACTCAGCAGGACTATGGTTCTATACATCAAAGTTGGCCCAGAGTTACTGGACACCCACAGCAAAAAAAGAAAGACACACATTACAAAACAAACAAACAAACAAACAAATTTAATAAATGGAAAAAGAGAGAGACACACTAGAACACAGAACTAAATTTTTTAAAAATGCTGAATGGAGGTAAAAATCAATGTAGTGTGGGAGTGCCTAAAACGGAGCTGACTCCCACGAGGGAACCTGGGGAAACAGTCACGTCCTAGGCTGGGCTTGAAGGTCAGAGCTGAAGTCGAGTGGCTGCTGCAGAAAGGACAGTCCACACTCAACACACAGCCAGCAAAGAAGAGAGCTGTGTAAGCACAAGGCATGTTTGGGAAGTGGAAGTGGATTCTAACACAGACTGTGATGTGGAATGCAGTTCTAGACCGACCCAGAAAGAGCTGCAGGCCACCGGCAAACGCCATGCTAAGCTTTGTACGTTTCTATTAATTAACAGGTAACGCTAGATTTGGCGTGGGGGGGGGCAGAACTTCTTTTCTTACTTTTTTTCTTTTTTCTTTTTATTTATTTATTTATTCATTTATTTTAGTATAAAACTCTGACACCATGTAAAGAACAGACCAAAAAGGCAAAAGTCAGAAGGCAGAAAGATCTGTCAGGAGGCTCTACAATAAATCAGATGAGGGATGATAAGGGTCTGATCACTGGTCCTAGCAGAGGAAGAGGTAAAGGAGAGGACAAATAAGAGACTCTCTGACAGGACTTAGTGAATAATTAAATGTGAGGAAAAGGATGAGCTGCTCGTGACTCGAGCCCCTAAATCCTTCCTGATCAAGGATATCCAGAAGGCTGTGTGGCTGGCATGTTTTTGCTGGTGTTTTATTAGGGCTAGTGGCAATAAAGTTAACATACCATTTACGTCATAAATATTTTTCAACAATGAAAAGTATGCAAAATTATTTTTAAAAATTATACCACAACATGAAATGTATCTTTCTTTAAAATGAAATGTGCTATGTCAGCCAGACCCATGGTATGGGACTGTGGTTATATTTCTAGCTCAGGTTTCGGCATTTTCCTTTTTCTGTTCATTTACGTTTATAAAAAAGAAAATGAGCTTTATTTTTTTCCCCCGGAGACTCATGATTTGCACTCACCAAGTGTCTTTGCATCCCCCTTCCACATGGCCAGGAATCATGCAAAACTATGATCAAAGCAGATGCTTAAAAATTACTTGCTGGATGAATAAATTCAAAAATGGAAGTCAAATAGAAATCAGCTGTTCCCCAAACCAGTAGACAGTTATTGCTGTTAGTGTTAGACTACTTGTCAACTGTAGGTGTGTAAGGCATTGCTGCTGTTCATTAAATGACAATTTTAAAATTTCATCAGGAATAATCTATTTTCTAAATAATTCACCCTTATCACCAAATGTGTCGTTATGAAGAATTGCTAGCTGCTATACCAAAGCCAAGTCCTCATTAGCGCTGGTGCTAAGAATTGCTATACCAGTAGATGAAACACGAAAATGTGTGGGAAATATTGCAACACACTTGTAACATTTCCTTAGAAAGTGACACGACTGTGTGGTCAATATCATATAATTAGAAATTTTACCCCTTAAAACAATGTTCCACCTTTGTGTTTTGAAGGAAAATCATTGATTTTTATCTACCCTAAAGATAACATTATTGACAGTGACCTCCTAATCAGATACAGAATAGAGGTCAAACTTTTAAATTTGACATTCAAAGCCCTAGATGATCTGGGCCAATCGACTTCTAGTCATAATTCCCTACAATCCCTGGTAAGTGATTCCTGTGGAGGAGGGTTTGCACCACTGGCTGTGCACACGCTGAGGAAGAGCACCAGGAGGCTGGCATTCGTTTGGGACGGCCTCATGGGCAAGAAGGCAGCACGGTGGAGGGCAAGACAGGTCAGGGGCTATCTCCTTTCTCTTCTAGGTCAGAACCTTTAGTGGCAACCCCTGAACCCCGGCACGTGTGAGCATGCGTGTGTACACACAGAGGTCAGCAGGGATGGGAAGGGGGGAGTTCTCTGGGGGGTGACCTAGCTGCAGTGAACTCAGAATCCGGGGCTCTGGGAAGCCTGAGGCAGAAGTACAGCCCCTGATTCTGACTTGGTGACTTGGCAGTCGGATGTCTGGACTGAGTCCAATTCATCTGAATTCAAGTTTGAGCCACATGTTAGCCAAGTGACCTGGGCAAGTCATTTCATGTTTCTGAGTGTCAGTTTTCACATTTCTAAACAAAATGGGAAGAACTAAATGATATATGTGCATGCACTGCACTCAGCAGAGTACCTAAGCGTAGTTGAAGAGCAGTAAGTAATTGTTTTTATTATTATTACTGAACACCAGATCCAGAACACCATAACTCTGGGCCTCAGGCTTCTAACTTCATTCATCCATTTAACTAACCAGCAACTATCAAAAACCCCTTTGGTTCCTAAAACACTGGGTTGTAAACTCAAATGAAGAATTCAATGAAAATATTTTGAACTTGATAAAAGGTTTTTTAAGTTATTTCCCCAAACAAGATGGCAGTGGTGAATAGAAAAGGAACTCTTTTGTTCCACCACTTTTTAAACATAATCCAATAAACTGACATATTCAAAAGAAGAGAATCTGAAAATGGCCTGAAAATGACTTCCTGAAAGAAACATGAACCCCCCCTCCCCCCCCCAAGTCATCTGTACTATTCTGGTTAAAAACTGATTCTACAAACAACCTATGAAAGATAGTATTAAATATACTTATATAGTTCTAACTTTATGTACACGTGAATTGGAATTTTTGCTGCTGGTTAATATTAACGCTAAGAACCAGAGTTCTTAGAGGATGTAGAACCTCATGTTTATCTTAAACAACATGCCATTGAGCCAAGTATCCCTTTACCACAAATATTTTTAAAAGAGACCCATTTTAACTTAATACATAAAAAGAAAACTTCATACCTGTATCATAAAAGTAAAGCCAACTTTACTTGCCAACTAAAAGGTAACTTAAGAAAATGGTGACACTAAAATTTTAAAATACGTAATAAAGTAGAAGTACAGTAATACCTTGGTTTGCGAGCATAGTTTGTTCCAGAAACAAACTACTCATATTGCAAGACGTCACTCAATTACCGAGTTAAAA